GTCATAAGCATACCCTAGGTCAGCAAGCATGTCTTCTGGTAGAAGGTCAACTCATGAAAGTTCAGACGATGGCAATCTTAACTCTAAAAGCATACCTTTTACAAAGTTAAACAAGAATTGAGAGAGCGGACAGCGCCAACTAACACCACCTGAAGTAAAGGATTCTGAAGACATTTCGCATTATGCCCTCACTCGGACAGTGATGTTCAAGTAGTGGTCCTTTGTAAGGTTATTATAGTTATTCGGTACACCTTTAAACGACAGACACGTTCTTAGAACCTTACGATCGACAGAGTAGAAAGCCGCCTGAAGGTCTAGAAATGCTACTACTTTGGGACGTCTGCCTGAGTGCCTCTTTTCTGGCACCTGTCGTTTAGTGAATATTTGATCTATACGTCCACGTTCAGGTCGAAAACCAGCCTAGTTTTCCATAGTCTTCTCATTACGAACTTGAGTTTGGCATCGGAGTATTATGATGGTCAATATTTTGGACACTTTATTGGTTAGACTGATTGCTCTAAGATTATCACATGAGGACCTTTGTTCTTTCTTGTAACTTGGGACAATCAGAGATTAGTATAAGTCGCTTCGGATTACGCCTAGTTTCCGGATTCACCAAGGAATTCAGTAAATCTAACTGTTAAAACTGGACCAACATTCCTTAAAAGCTGAAAACAAATCCTTTCAGGTCCCACTGCTTTACCATGATTTAGATTTCCTGTAGATTTTTCGACTCCATCAAGATTCGGAGGACTTATATCGATTTGCCATTCAGGATAACTAGATTTTATGGGCAACCAAAGTAATGCTGATGGCTAGTTTCCCTAACAAATGGATTAGTGATACCGGTTGCATCGATAAGGCGGAAAAACCGTCTGGTGTTAACAATCGCCGCTGCTTTTTCCATAGCTCGTGCTTTCCCTATTCACAAGTGTTCGTGATCATTGGGTAGGCTTTTTATTAGTCTGAGCTCAAACTCACTTCTCTCTTCGTCATGTGAGATGAGTTTACGAGTGTCTATCACTGATGTTGATTTTACTGAGATCCACGACTTCTTCCGCGCCTTATGGAGTACCTTATAAGCATATGTGACTGCTGTTTCCACAGCTTTTTGGATATCACTCTAAGCTGCCTTCGTATGGAAATCGCTTACATGGTCACTCGACCGTTTGTCTGGTTGTTCCTGCTATCAGTAGTGTTGAGACAACTCTGAGGGTCGCGAGGTGAGGAGACGTTATCCCTTTTGCTTAAGTTAGTATTTTCTAGAGATATACTGTTATCTGAATACAGCTCCAGCAGCCAGTTCTTTATGCCTCAACACAAAATGATCCACCCAAGTGTCTTTCCTTTTCAACCAGTGTGCGTACTTGAGCACTGAAGTCAGCAGTCATCAGAGTGCCTAACTTTCTGATGAAGGTGTGAAGGCGTTTTATAAAACTCATCTTTTACCTTGACTGAACTGCGGTCTTTGGGAGCGTGGGCAGATATGACGAGGTGGTAAGGGTGTTTGTCCCTATCTTACGGAGTCCTTACTGATCCGTTTACTTGAAGAGCGCACAAGCGACTATTTACTTAGATCCACTCTAGAAGAGATAGTTCTTCCCTCGAACGTTATCCTATAATTAAATCAGCGAGACGCCGGGGCTTCCAGAAACGTGAAGATTGGAACGAGTCGTTTCTGAATGACACTACTGAGATCCTGTATGGGCGTTTCGGAGATGTAGCATATGTCTATGGCGCAAGATTCTAAAGTTCTAGCCATCAAAACCTGTTTCTGTATTTGACATAAGGTCTGCCTATGAAAATCTCCTACGATTAGTTCAAAACCGAGTTTTCGGGAGACCAAGAATCACGCTTCAGGAAATCAAATCGTTTGCATCAACGTCACGGGGTGTTAAAGAAATGTGAGTACAGTTAGTCGTGAAGATAAGAAGATTTTTAGACTTATCGTAAGTACTAGATTGTGACCAGTTAGATCTCGTGTGCTGTTACATGTATGAGGGCATATGTCACTTCCTGGTTGCCCACACCATGGAAGGGTGCCTCTCCAGTAACCTGAAAAGCAAGGTAGAATATTGTTGTTCTTAGAAACCTTGAAATATGAAGGAAGAGCTCAAGGGACAAATGCTTGAGGCCGGTAAGGTTCGGCTTTATTATAAAAGGTTTTTAAAGTGTTACCTTGGTTCTTT